CTGAGCATTCTTTGGCATTGCCCTTCTGTGGAATTGGAACGTGGCCACTGTTGTGTTTTCCAAACTTGTTGGCATATTGAGTGCACCACTTTAACAGCATCATATTTTAGTATTTTAAATAGGTCAGATGGAATACTGTCATCTCCTCTAGCTTTGTTGTTAGTAATGCTTCCTAAGGCACACTTGACTTCGCTCACTAGCATGTCCAGCTCAAGGTCAGTGACCACACCAGCGTGGACATCAGGGACATTAAGATCTTTCTTGTATACTTCTTCTGTGTATTCTTGCCACTTCTTAATCTCTTCTGCTTCTGTTCGGTCCCTGCCTTTTTTGTCCTTTATCATGCCCATCTTTCTACAAAACAAACCATCAGCACTTAATATTAAAACCAGATTTGCCTCACCGAGTTAGATTAATTGTTCTAAGGCACAGTCATTTAAGGTTTCTGGAAGTATGGATTGTTTGTTGTGGCCTGAGTATGAATGTACCCAGTCAGTTGAAGTCCCTGAGGAATGTCTCCCTGGCATGATTTAATGATCTCAAGATCATTTTCAGCATTTTGATTAACCCATAAAATTAAAACCAGACCTAAATCCAGACTGAAAGAGATTCAGGAATCAACCACCAACAACTCTAAAAAGGAAGACTTATCTGTAAAAGGCACACAATTGTAAGGACACTGAATTGTTTTCCACCTTATTTCTACATGTTCTTTTGCTTGAGGATTCCACTTTATATGAACAAGGCAGATAACCAAAATGCTTCCTTTTGTCATGTCTACTTTGCCCTCAAGATAATACAGCAATGAAATCAACAAAAGGTCACAAGTAATCTCAGTAGACAGCATATGAACAAGACTAACAGGCCTCCTTACATAGGAAGTTACAATAAACAACAAATGGTCAAATCTTGTTGGAATTCACCTCATCTCCTTGTGGACACTTGCAATCTGATCTAGAGCCATCCGATAGAACTTGATGGCTTTTGAATAGTTCCTTTGTTTCAAATAAATATTTGCCATGTTCACCTTCAGCATACCTATAAAATAATAGAGATTAAGATGTAGCTCACATCCCAGTAATTTCACATAATTTCACTTGGGCTATATCTATATATAAAACATATATACTTGGTATGGAAAAGTCTGGAGAAGAGGAAAATTTTAAAAAAAGAGCTATTTTGGGCAAAAAAGAAATGGAATGTCTGACACCTTCATTTTCCAGTTGCGTACCTATATACACAGCAAACTTCTTTACTTGAATTTGGCTTGCGTTTTCCTGCAAGTTTATTTATTTACAAACTGTAACTTCTATTCCACTTCAGTCAAACTGATTCTAGAAAAAAGACTGGAAATATAGACATTTTGCTTAAAAAAACATTTAAACAGCAGAACACCAGCTTTATTGGGTCTGCCTTGCAACTGCTTGTCATAATTTACTTCTCACAGACCTGAAAAAGTGGGGCTCAAGACAAAACCTCAGTTCTTACATCAGTTGGGGATTATACTGGAACAGATGCCAAGTTTTAGTTGGGAGAATAGCTTACACCTTTTTCTGCAGCCTCTAACCTAGTGGGTAAAGTTGTCAGAACACACACTTAAGAATACAATCAGTGACTGAATGCAGATGAGTTTAATGCATTATTTTTAAAAGGAGACAGATTATTGGAGTTATGATATCTGAGCTGCAAAATACAGATGATCAAAATATTGCTGCAGAATTCAACTATTACTGAGTTAGAGGAATTTATTAAAGCTCAAAGATATTACTGAATGGATAAGCATACCTGACAATCCCTTTTCCTAAATAGTTCACAAATAAGTTATTATGTCAGATGAGCATATCTGACAGAAGAAAAATATCACACTGGCCTTGTAAAATAGCACCAATACCCACATTTTGCTGGTATCAATGAACAGAGACTATGATGAAGAGTTCCCATTTCCTAGGATAACTACTTAGCACAGTTTGGTTTTGTAAAGGTAAACTACCTCCATTGACGAACATTTTGTTTTTCACGATGACCTGATATGTATTCAATGCTTCTGCATACATTTCATTAGCAGAGTACTGGCTAGCCAAATTGAAGAGCACCTAAAAGAAAAGAAGTGAGAACATTTCTACTGCCCTCCAGAAGCAAGAGTTTTAAATGTCTTCATCACAAAGTTGTAGCAGTCAATAGTATAGCAGCAACATTAGGGGAGAGAACAGAACAGCTATTAGTAGGACATATTGAAAAGCTGGTGTGAGGTACCCTGTTCCTCAAGGAAAGGCTTCAGAGATGTGGTCTTTTACCTCTAAGCCAGGAGCCCTTTCAACTCATGGGCATATTTGGAATTTCAAGAACCCCTTATGAATGCTTGGGCAACATGACTGCTGTGCATGAGGGCTTGCCCATTCACACAATGGCTATTCTGGGGACATAACTGATTAAAAGGTAGAGGTGATTATGAAGTCAAGCCTGACTCTGGTAGCTTCACGGCAACAACAGGAAAAGATTTGTCATTGCCTTTTTCCAGGATTTTTAAAAGATGTCCCAGCCTACCCTAAATAATTGATTACAAAGCAGTCTCTTCCAAGAACATTTCCTACTGTCCACCTTAACTTTGCTCTTTTTTTTAAGGCAAATGGGTATATTTTCAAGTAAAGTATTCAGTTGCCCCATCATTTGTATTTTCTAAGAAAACCAATTTGGGATCCAAGGGCATTTTTAGAAATAAGGGTGATGCTAGTGAATAGGGCTTAGCATGTCAACTTCTTTTGAAATTTAGAATGAATTAATTACCCACAAACATCCTCCTCATTATCTGCCAGACTCCCTACCCACCTGGTCTTTTTATTAATAAGGTGCTTCAAAGCAGGTCTGGCTGTGTTGTTAACATTTCCTTCACCCAAACACTATCTTCCTGAAATGCACAGCTACCATGTACGCCTACTCAGGTATAGCTGAGTCAAGGAGATGCTGACAGACATGATGTACATGTCCTCACCCATTCCAGCTTTAGATATGAAGCAGTGCACATCCCTACTGCAGGGTGTAGAATATGGTATCCAGATGTTTTTAACATATAGGGCTACATTTGAAGGTACAGACGAGAATTCTTTCGTTCCTTTCCCAATATTTGGATGTCATTACTTCTATTATATTGGGAATCGGGTAGCATATAAATTAATAAATAAATAAATAAATAAATAAATAAATAAATAAATAAATAAATAAATAAATAAATAAATAAATAAATAAATAAATAAATAAATAAATAAATAAATAAATAAATAAATAAATAAATAAATAAATAAATAAATAAATAAATAAATAAATAAATAAATAAATAAATAAATAAATAAATAAATAAATAAATAAATCCATGCTGTTGAAAATATTACTAAAGTATTATTATTATAGAAAAAGTGAAAAATACTACTAAATATTCTGTGCTGTATTATAAACAGAAATATACATAAAATCTATTAGCATATTCATTTTTTAAAAAGCACTTAGTAGTTCTAATAGATTCAAGAATATATTTTCAAGATGCTGTGCCAAATATGGAGAAAATATGCTTGACATTCACACAATAGCTACATTTCAAAGGAAAAAAGGGTAAAATTTACCTAAAATATATAAATTACTCAGAAATCATTAATCTGGGTCACAAATGTTCAAATGTATATCACTGTTAAGCAGCTGTGGGCTTTAATTCTAGTTAATATAGTACAGTGAATCCCTAAATTAGGGTTGTGTGTGATGGTTTTAATTCTGTGGGGTTCTTGTTTTATTTATTTATGTTGGTGTTGTTAGTCATCCAGAGTTATATTGTATAAGATGGGTGGGCATATAAATCTTTTAAATGAATAAACAAATAAAATAAAATATGGCTACTATCAATATTAACAAGTGAAAATTTACACTTCTAGGGTAATTTTGAGACCATCAGCTTTATGTTGTAGAGATCTTTAAATTCAAACACAAATGCTGTCATTCAGTTAAATATAATTACAATACATGCAGTTTAATACATACATTCAAATATTCATCTGTCATCATTCATGTATGATTGACCCCATTCTTAAGATTCTGAATATGCATTTTAATGTAATTACAAGGTTTGACTCTGTTTTTATGGTTAGATTTCCTGATCCATTGCTACTTACAGTATAAGTAAGATCAAGGTTAATATTAGCAGGAGACATTGTCTGTTCTCGTTGCCTTACTAAGGCTCTTTCTTTTCTTCCAGCATCTTTTGCCTTTTCTAGAGCCTTAAAGAAAATAATTTATATTTCATTAGTGCCTCCTGCTCTTCCTTAGACAATGCTGCATAAAACACTATTTTCATATATATTCACACAAACCCATTTCTATAACTGCACATACAACTACTAACAGGATGCAACAGCAACAGAGATATTCAAGTCATAAGGATACTCAAGTAGGGGGTGCATCCCTCATTGCACTTTATAGCTGTCTTTAATGTTCTTTGATAGAAAGTGAGCTTACAAATTCTATTTCTGAATGCCAATATGAAATCTAAAAAAACTGCATATACAAAGAAAGGAATGAACAGTTATTTTAGCTTGGAAGGAGAAAAAAAATCAGAAACTAGTTCCTATATTCTTGTTGGTAAGAACAGATGTAGCAAATCCCCTCCACTGTCCTTCCCACAAAAATTGATGTCCCCCACAGCATAAGATGCACAGTCTTATAATGGTGTTTGGCATTTTGTATGATGAAACAGCATAATGCCTTTCATCTTTGGAATCTCACGTATTGCAGATAAAAGGCTTTTTTTTTTTAAATGAACACTGAGGAAGCTGAATTCCCAGCCAAAACCATATTCTAAAAACCCCAAACTTATATAATTGCAGGATACACATACTCTAGATCAGTGTTTCTCAACCTTGGTAACTTTAAGATGTGTGGACTTCAACTCCCAGAATTCAAGTCCACACATCTTAAAGTTACCAAGGTTGAGAAACACTGATCTAGATTGTATACTCTCTTCGGCACTCCTCAGAAACAGAAACATTTCATCATTTTTTATAAGAGGGCTGAGACAAACACGTTGGTGGCCAGAAGCAAAAGTATGAACAGGCCACAAATAGTCATTGTATATAAGCATACTTGCCACATGAATCAATTAGTTAATCAAGGTAGTTTTGCATTAGTTCTTAAACTGTGACATAATAGATGTATTCATATAGCAGGCATATCTAGATGCGATGAGATATGTGCTGAATTTTACCCAGCTAAGATTTTTGGACGGCTATCTCAGATGCTTCATTCTTCACAAAAAACAAACTGGCAATTTGAAAACTATAAAAGCAAGAGTGCAGCTCTGTATCTCAAGATGAAATCATAATTAAAGACTATGTCTTACCAATTTTAAATCTCCACAGCTGTGAGCAATGCAGCTTTCTTCAACCAACTCATTCACTTTTTTTTCTAACTGTTTAATCTTTCCTTCTGGACTGAAATAAGGAAAGAGTAGAATTGTACAGCATCACAAACACCAAGGCAAAAAAGCAACACTGCCCATCCATCCATCCATCCATCCATCCATCCATCCATCCATCCATCCAATTTCTGTAGCTGCCCATCTCAATCCAAGTGACTCTGGGTGGTGAGCACACATTTTGGTACACGTATTATGTATACCACATTACACATGCTTTGGCTACCCTTGCTTTTATATAGATTTAATTTATACAGATATTTCTACCCTGTCTTTCAAATGAAATATTCAGGTTGGACTATTTCTGAAGAAGAAATTCAAAAATATATGATCCCTAGAAAGACCTCCCAAGAACTTGTTGCAGATTGCAGCAAAAACTGTTGAGGCCATGGTATTTTTAGCTAGTGAAAGATTCCAATGCTACTGTGCATGACGGTCAATCCTGATCTGATTTTTAAGTGGGGCTATATTACATGAGTGGACACCAGCCCATAAAACAAGAGTTTCCCTTGATTTTATCCCAAATATGCTCCAACTATCCAGAGCAAATTTGCAAAGCACACACAGCAGCATGAAGTAGGAACAATCTGACTTGCCACCAATGGCTGTTTAATTGGCAGACAGACGCTAGACATAAAAAGGACAGGGTAATTTATTTATTTGATTTATATCCTGCTTTTCCTCCAACAGCTCAAATTGGCTTCCATGGCAATATCTCTTAATTTTATGCCTATAGCAGCCAGCCTGGGCTGAAAAGAAATGACCAGCCCAAAGTCATGCAGTGAATTTCCATAGTTAAGAATGGACAATCTGCCCCCAATCCCCAACCCCTACTCCAACTGCTTACCTACTGCAATGCAGTAGAAGGATTTAAACCTGTAAGCTGATATCAACTCTACTGGAATGGATTTATGTTAGCATATGTAACTAAACATAACTGATATAGCCATTGGCATACTTTCAAAAATTAAAACACTGAAATTAATAATGAATCATGTTTATCCAAGTCCTAGGAAAGTACTTGAGGATGGCATTGTGTGACACCGAAACATTTTCCCACAGCAATGAGTCTACAGTACAAATATCACTCTTTGTATTATGGCACTCTATTAAAACAAACAAACAAACAATCACTGATTTTATTATAATAAAATCATATTATAACAGTATGGAAAATTCCATACAGCATGGAAAGATCCGGCTTCTTCCAATCAAATTCTGTTTTGTTTCTTCAGAAGGAATGAAGTATTCTTGAAGAAACACTATTGATTTTTTTCCAAAAAGATATGACAAAGTAACTGTAACAAAACTGTCTACAAACCTATCTTCATTTTTTGTTTCCAGAGGAGGAGCTGGACCTCTTGCCTGGCCGAGAGGATCAAATGCAGAACCTACAAATTAATAAATATTACTGAGAACTCTACCAATATGCTTCCCTATTGAAGCCTAATGTATTTATTATTTTTTTAACAATTTTTAAAATGTATCTTTATTTGATGTATAACCTCTCCTTCTACTCAAGTAATACTTAGGGCAGCTCACAAAATTAAAAATAAGTACAACCCTAAAAGGTAAAACATAAATTAAAATTAATACTAAAACAGATTAACAGTCAAAAGCCTGATAAATGAGACGTGTCTTTACAGATTTTTTAAACACCATGAATGGTAGCCAAGCACAATTCCTGAGGAAGAATATTTCATAATCTGGAAGAAATGCAAGAAAAAGCACTCTCTCACATGGCACGTAAGTGAACCTCTTCTTCAGATTTTAAAGCCCAGATAGGTTCATAACAGGATAAATGGCCCCTTAAATAGTGAGGTCGTAAGCAAGTTGTTTAAATCTCTAAAGGATAACATGACACTTTATATTGTGCCCAGTAAGCAGGTAGAAAGCAGTGCAGGTCTTTTAGTACAAACAGCATGTAATCTCTGTATCTTATAGAGTCTAGTTGCTGAATTTTGCACCAGCTGCAACTTCTAAACATTTTTCAAGGACAATTCCAAATATACTGCATTTCTAGTAGTCAAAACAGGATATAACCAAACTGTGGATAACTATTGCCAAATCAAGAAGAGTTGCAGCTGGTGTGCTGCCATAAATGTATATACTGTATGTATTCCTTGTCATAGCTGCCTCCTAGAATTGAGTGACAACTGAGGATTAAGGAACACCCCCAAACTGCAAGTCTACTCTTTCAGGTGGAATACAACCCCATCATAAACTTCAGTCCTCAAGTCCATTTTCTTATGATCAAGAGCACCTCTATCTTCTCTGGTTTTAATTTCACCTTATTCTCCACCTAGCCCATAACTGAACTTATGCAACATTCAAAGGTATTAATTGCTTCTCTAGAGTTGGATAACAGGGAGCAGTATAGCTGGATGTTATTAGCATGCTGATCTCACTTTAGAGATCCAAATCTCTGGATAATTTCCCCCACCAGTTATATCTAGATATTAAAACCATGAGGGCACTCTGTGGGACACCATACATCAATAGCCCGAGTGTCAATTAGCTGTTATTTAGCATCACTGGAAGGACTAGAACTGCTTCCAAATAATATCCTCAACAGACAACCTTGCCAGATGCTCTAGAAGGACACCATAGTTGATCACATCAAAAATATACCTCTTGAAGCTGCTTTGGTGTAACCTGCTGCCTGCACTGCTGTCATAGGTCGGGTAACACCATCCTTAACGAACAAATGAAGGCACATCAGTGATGAAAATCATGAGGAAGCAGGTTCTTGCACAGATTACAATGCTCTTATTAAGTGACAGAATGTGACCAATACATAAACCTGAACTGTATTATTTTCTAGAGTCTGTAAAATATAGTCATTTAAACTGTAGTCAGGGTAGCCATATAATATTCTCTGTAACATAAAAAAATGTTTGCAAGAAAATAACCAAGCTCAGAGAACCCCAAGGACTCCATAAAAAACCCACAAATATTTATCATGATATTTGATGTGGATCAAATTTAAACTGTACACTACACAAACTATATTAATTAGCTCTGTTTTCCCCCCAGAGAATGAACAATAAGCAATTATTATCACATAGTAGGTCACGAGCATGACCATAAGGAACGTTACATCTACATCAGCCTTTATATTTGAAAGGGGATGAAAAATGTCCTATCTACAGACTTCTCCATGTAGATATTGAAGTGTTCCAAATCAAGAGAAGTTAGACATTTCCTTTTTTTAAAAAAAATAATACCTGTACTTAGATAAGAATAGAATGAGCAGTGCTATTACTTATCTACTCAGAATTATGCCTCATTAAGTTCAATAGTACTTGGGATGGAAACAAATAAGCTTACTGCCACTTAATGTACTATTGAGCTTTTTAGAATGCGATACTATGTTTGATAGGTGTGTGCATTGATTATAACCTAAGTGAAAGCATCTTATAAGGCTAGCTTCTCAAACTCTGAGCTGAAGCCCTCTGGGGATGGGGGACATAAGCAACTTGGGGGGGGGGCACCATTTTTAAAAATCAGAAAACTTGCACAAGTAAAGTGGGAATACTGTCAAAATTCACTCTGGCCTGTGCACCCCACTGTGTTTGCACAAGTTCACTGCAGGCTTTCCCAGACAAAGCAAATTTTGGCAGCATGTTTGCTTTACCTGCAAAGCCCCAGTGGGTTGCAATACTGCAGTGTTTGAGAATTTCAATAGTAATATATAGATTTTAAAAAATTAGTTGTATATGAATTTCTTGTCCAACACTAATCCCAATGAAATTGTTAGCTTTATTCAAAGAGGCTATCCAGATAAAATTCACTTATCCCATTATTGTACATTTACAGTAGTATTACAAAGTTTCATAAACCATATTTAAGGAAAAAATTATTTTTCAAATTTGCTGCTACAAATGGTAATATACCTTTTAAGTAAGAAATTGTTATTAAATGCTAAAATTGAGTACTTAATGGTATCCTCATTTTCCACTTATGTTTTTCATTCCTTAAATTTAAAACCAGCTCTTCACTATTATGACCTGTATAGTCTTAGACTCACTGGCTGCTGACTATGAATTAATTTTAGCAATAATTATAACAGTATTACCTGTATAGCTGCTGTCATTGGTCTGCCCATTGATGAAGATAATGTTGTCTTTGACTATCATGATGCAAGAAAATATTTTGATAAATCATCACTGCAAGTTCTATTTCTAGGGGAACAGCAGGTCTGGAGCACAAAAATCACTATTCTAGTAGCGCAGAAGGAGACACTACTCAAATACCAATGGAAGAGTCCTAAATTTTTATTATATCTATGGTATGAAATTCTCACTTCAAAATTCAGATTTATAAAGTGTGGTGTAAGGAGGCACCATTCTAGTCCCCTAATTGTTATTCATGTTTAAATATACTGAAATATTTATAAAAATTAAAACTGGTGCCAGAAAGTAGAATAGCATCTGCCCTTATATAAGAGTTGCTCCTGCTCTTGCTCAGTTCATTTCAAATATCCATAAGCCATTGTCACAGAAAACTGTTTAAATTACTGCCTTCCATTTCTTGCAACAAAATCAGTTCTGCTCCTGATCTTTTCTCTTTCTCAATTTTGATTCAATTTTCCAGCTCCCTTTATTTATGGCATACAACAGTTTCCCCCAACCTGGTGAACATAGATTTACTGGGTTGCAACGTCCAGAATTCCCAGACAGTATCGTCATAACTACTGCAAAATATGAGACTTACATTATTTCACAGGCTGACTGGGATCAGGAACTTTGCACTTAGTATATCTTGTTGGAGAAAATGCAGAAGCAAAGAAAGAAGAGCAGGATAAAAATAAGCAGATAATAACAACTTACCACATACCCTGTAGCTAAAGTCCGTGCACCTGATGTACCTGGAACCTTGGCTGTAAGCTTTTAAAAACAGAATTAAGTGTTAATTAAGCATCAAGAACTAGCATGCAATAGTTTAAATATAATTACTACAGGCAATTAAAATGAAATTATATAATGATCTATATAAAATACTGTTTTAGTATCATCTTTGAAGAGTATAATGTAGACATAGAAGTTGAAAAACATCCCATAAGGCAATGGCAAACCAGGACTTGAAGTTACCAAGTTTGATTCAAAGAAGTCTTGACTTTGCTGTTTTGCATTTTTGGCACAAACTTTTGATGAGAGTTTGTTATCCAAATGACAAGAATAAAATCTCCCTATGTTTTCATTATTCTACAGGTAGGCAATGGAGAACTACTTGTAAGTACAAAAGCCCTCAAGACCTGGCTGTTTTCCTGGGCATGGGGGTCGGGAAATAGATTGAGTCCATGATGGGTTGGTTGATTCGTTTTCTCAGTTGCCATATTATGTTTCTTTGCTTTGAGTTATTATTGTTGCTTATTGTTATAATATTTGTACTGTACGTTCAACTGTTAGTCACCAGAATTGTGCTTGCAAGATGGGCAGTCATATAAATCTATTAAAATGAATAAATAAACATTTTGACAGCTATCAGCATTAATAATGCAAAGTGATGTACATGCTTTGTAGGTATTAAACTATTTTGGAGATTTGATCTCCAGAATCTCCAATTAAGTGATCTGCTAGTAATATATTTTAAAAATTCTGTTCTAGAACTTAGGGATCCAGATATGTGATGTTATTTATTCATTCAATTTATACGGCCACCCATCTGAAACAAGTGACGCTGGGTGGTGATTAATTACTTAATATTGCCAGTGCCTGGCTATGTGAACAGAAGTGATAGGGACAAGTAGCCCTTTATCTGTCATTATCAAGGTAAGTTTTTACTGCTCTTGTATGATTTTGTGCTGAATACATCTAACTGGCTAATTATTGCATACATTAATTCATCAAAATATACTCACTTTACATGTACTCTGAAATACCAGAATAATTATCAGAACATGATACTCTGGCATACTGTGAGTTACAGTATTGACATACACCTATATCTACATTTGTGTAGGTATGTGTTCACATACATGTGAAAAAAAGTAATCTCCTTGGCAGAAGATTTTTAAAAAGTAGAAGCAAACAGCTACAACAAAAGACTAACATCATATGCATTATTCTTTTAGGTGTAAAGTAAGGAAGGACTGCTCTTTACCATAAACAAGTATTCTAAACAAACGCGTGGAGCTGGGCTAAAAATGTTATAAAAGTAATATGGCTCTCCAGAGGTTTTGTAAATGCTTACACAGATGCATTGTAATTTTTAACTTACTGGAGGTCTTCTACCATGGCTAGTTTTCACAGCCTGTTGAAAAGCTGGATCATTCTCTAAATCCTAGAAACACACACAAAACTATGAATGTCAACTTTATGATAGTTAAATAATAAAGTCAGCATTTTTCTTTTTAAAATTGTATTCATTAGTGTATAAATGTATTTATCTTACATTTGGACACTTACATTAAAATGCATTAAGTGGACTTGAAATTATTCTATACATATTTCTGTTTCTATGCAAATGACAGATACTTGCCAGATACTATTCCTTAGCACAATAAAACTCATCTATGGTATCCTAATACCAATTTGAAAATCAATCTATTTCACCAAATTTACTATATATTGGCTTGTGTAAGCCAATTTGGTCTAGTAGTAAAGGCACCAGGCTAGAAAGCAGGAGATTATGAGTTCTAGTCCTTCCTTAGGCATGAAAGCCGGCTGGTGACTTTGGGCCACACTCTCTCTCAGCCCACCTCACCTCATGGGGTTGTTGTTGTGGGGAAAATAGGAGGAAGAAGGAAGATTAGGTATATTCGCTGCCTTGAGTTATTTATAAAAATAGTAAAGATGGGGAAAAAAATCTCAAAAAATGTGTTTCTTTTCATCTCATCCCTGCCTTTAATTTACTCTGTTTAGTGATCTTTTACTCTTTTTCTGTGCTTGGATAATATTACTCTGCAAAAGAATAGTACAATTGGTAAATATGTGCTATATTTTACCTCTGTATCAAAAGTAGGGTTATAATCATTGTAACCAGAATAAAGATCATCCTCATCTGTTTCGGGTGCCAGGTGGACGTTTTTCATCATTTTAACCTATGAAACATTAAATGTGTCAAAATATTGGCTTTGAATTTTAGTAGTCAGTAAATACCTATCAGACCAATGCAATGATTCTGTAAATCTACTTGTAAATCCATCATAAACTTAAAAAATCATTAAAAATACATACTTATGCCAGAAAACACTATCATTGCAGGAATGATCCAGTCTAAAATTATAAGATTACAACAGAAGGCTGCATATCAACTGCTGTTCTCAAGCCTTTCCCTTTCTCAGTCCTTCCTCATCTCAAAGCAAATTATCAACAAGGGCAGTTCTAAGCATCTATTCCACAGTGCATGTGAAAGAATCAAAGGAGCCAAGACACTGAGAGCCCAGGTCCCAGTATGATCCAGCAGCAAAACAGTAAATGGTAAGAGAATGCAGCTTTATGTTTATTCACTAAGAAGTCCCACTGACATAATGGGACTTACTCTTAAAAAACAAGTACAAGATAGTAATCATACAATAAAATTGAGGACTAGTCTATTGAATTCAAAAGAACTTATTCCAAACTTAGTGTTAGAGGACTGAAGTTTAGTTTGTGTCTTAAATGATCAAGGACACACTTCTAACCCAGTAATTCTGGAAAAGTATAATTCATTCTATTAATATTTGCACATGCTTCTCAGGAGGCAGAGCTGTTATATCATTGCCTTATTAGTAATATCAGAAGCTTATCTAAAAAATTAAGAATTTGATCTTAGCTAATTACAGTCTCACATTAACAACAGCACTGAAATGGAAGCAGTGCACCAGGATGCCTGGATACTAACCCCAAATACAAATCAAGCTGATTTTTCTGGCAGGGGCTTGAGACCAAATTGTATGGGTGACTGTGTTCCTCCAATTGAAGTATTCCCAAGGTTTATAGGTTCAGGCTAGCCCTTTCAATTAGGATTGGATATCGGCAGCCAGTACTACTGGTGCAGAATCAGACTATGTAGCCTCCAAACTAATGCGGCAGCCAGACCATCTTCAAAGGGATTTTCACGCAAAACATGTGGCAACAACCCTGTTTAGAGATAACCAGGGCAAGTCTAGAGAACAGTTCTGTGCATTCTGAGGCCAGCTTTTTAAAAGACCCTTCTGGCCACTTCTCTTCCCAAATTCATATCAGGCCAGTATCCAATTCCCAGGAAGCAGTACTTCATCCCAGATGTGATTCCTTTGACTATATTTAGAAATATGGATTTTAGGAAGGAAGAGTCCTTTAAAGTTCTTGCAGTCTTTTACCTTTTATTGCCTTTATTGTGATTCCTTTGTTTTGATTGTTGTGAGCTGTCCAGAGTCATTGGAAGTTGGACAGCATACAAGTTTAATAAACAATAATACCAATAATAATAAAAGTCCTTCCCTGACTGAAACCACAAACCTAGATGCCTCCAGTGGTTCTCCATTCGTTTACTTCTGTCAAGCAGCAGACTGAGGAGTTTTGATTTAATGCTCACCTGGGTGAGTCGTTCCAAGGTCGAGAACCGCCAGCAATGATTGAAACGATCAGAATCTGTAAAAAACGGAGAAAAAGGGGGTTGTTAATTGGCTGAAATGCTTTCCTAAAACGACACGGTAATAGCCACTGCCAGGACACTTGGAATTTTTCCGTGTCCTGCTGTCTCCCAGATAACCTTAGCTTTCCTCCCATTAACGCGGTTTCTTCGTCTGGCCCTTCCCAAGCAAGGCGGCTACACCTCGGAAAAGAAAAGCGACGACGGGGCCGCAGGGGGCCCTCGTTGTTCCCAAGTATAGGGCCTAAACTCTCAAGCCCACAATGCATCACTTCAGGTTGCTAAGAAACAAGAACGCTCCGTTCAGGGGGAAGAAAATATCTGAGCATGCGCAGGATCTTCTAACGAAGCTCCCTCTATACTTAGCAGCCCGCAGTTATTGCAGCGTCCCGTTTGCCAGTTTGAAGAGGGAAGGGTGGAATTTGGGAAAGCGTTTGAGCGGGGAAGGCATGGCTGGAAATCTGGCAGTAGAGGCAAAAAAAGAAAGTAAGAAACATGTCAAAGAATAGCGAGTAAATACTGATTTACAGTACTCTTCTCCAATTTTCTGCCCTCCAGATTCCTCCCACCCCTAGCCGACACATCATGTTGGCTGAGTTTGTTTGTTTATATATCAAATTTGTCACCGCCCATCTCGTTGAACCGACTCTGGACGATTTACAAAACGGTTAAAATCAATTAAAGTTACAACATAGAATAATCTTAAATAAATAGAAAATATATAGAGCCAAGGATAAATAGACTGCTATTATAGTTCTGTATGTGTTGTAGTGAAAATATATTTGTGTTTTAACATATATGGAGGGCATGGGGGGGTTATGTCTTGCCTGATCAAAAAAAATAAAATTAAGCAGTGTCAGTCCTGGTTAGAAATTGGATGAGAGACCACCAGAAAATTCCAGGGCTGTCGGTCAAAAAAAATCAGAAAAGGCAATGGCAAATCATTTTCATATTGCTGTCAAGGAAACTACGTGACACGCTGATGTGGTCATCAGGAGTCAAGCTCAAATTGAGAGAATCTTTATTTTTAGCTTTTTCATTTGTGCATTTTTCTATTGGCTCTTACTGATAATGGGCAATGTTTATAATGGGGAAAGAAATCCTGCTAAAAGTGTTGTTTTTTAATTCTACAAGTATTATGCAACTATTAGTAACTGAGGACACAACTCTTAAAACATTAAAGGGATTTTTAATTATTCAACTAGAAAGCAATTATCCAACTAGCATGGCATAACTTGATACTATTTAGTGGAATTTGTTCTTTAAAAGCAGCTGTCTGAGGTGGAATCAGATCCAAATCTATCTCCTTATGTACCCTTTCCTGAGTGAAATGTTGCATGCCAGCTATACAAAGGGACAACTAGCTGAAATGGTGCAAGGCAGAAAGTTAAACCCCATTTAACAATCCAAATGATTATTAAATGACAAGCAAGTATCATTAGTCTTTACAAAATGCTGATATCTTGAAAAAGTTTCTTCTTGAAATAAACCTGAAGGGTTCTTTTGTAAGAGTAGGAACAAATTTAAAAAGAAAACCCATATTTCTATGAGTTATTTTAAGTGTACTTTCCTGGTGGGAAAAACCTAGAGAATCATGTCAATATAGTGAGAGGCTACCACTCTCCATTTTAGGTAAATTTGCTATACCTCTACATCATGGACAAAAATTCAATGTTTCCATAATCACGCTAGTACTGATATAAAATATTGTTTGAGAATGACTGATGTATAAAAACTGCACATTTTAAAAGTGCTTTTAAAAAGCTAAGAAAGTGTACTTTGAACTATGTTTTTTATTCAAGCATGTTATCAGAGAAAAAAAGTTCACAAATACAACAGTACATTTTTTAAAATAATAATTTTTAATGGCTCCTCATTTTGCAATGATTTAGGCACATGAAAAATGAAAGGAAGGAAAGCAACATCAGTTTGTATTTCATGGCTTATGCCATTGGTTTATAAAGCCTTGTTGATGAAGGCCTATCAGTAGACTATCAGGGTAAATATTTGTTCATGATATCCTTTAGTGTCACTTTCTCTTCTTGTCTCATCAGTGGATTAAACATACTTGTCTGCATGATAAAGCCTCCTCTAAACCCAGAAGAATCTGCCTATAAAGAGGTGGTTGGCCCAATGAATCCCCACAAAACTTCTAGCTTCTCCCCTTTCCAAACTTAGCATAAAATTGGGTTAGCTAATTCTCAGCTGTGTCAGGCAGATATAATGGGAACATTAAATAATTGTTCGTAACACAGAGGCATAGCAAAGTTAGCTGAAGTGGAGGCTGACAGCCTGTAACTATAGGATTCTCTAGGACTCTTTCATTTCTCTAGACTTGTTGCCTACTTGGAAAATACCCCTCATAGTACCAATAGAGGCGAGTATGCGTAGCTCAGGGTTGAACAGTGGAGTCCTTGAGGTTCTCTAGCCGGGTAATGAAACATTTGCAAGAAAAGAACAAAGCTCAGAGAGCCCCAAGGACTCCACCCCTCATAGTTTTTTCTAGGGTAATTAAAATAGGAACAGGCTTGCTGCAATATTCTCCAGTTTAGTTTTAACACTAACTGCAATCTTATGCACAGAAAAGTCTCATGCAGTTAAATATTTCTGCCACTCAGAAGTAAATCCTACTTATCTGTAGTCCTGTTAATGAAAATCCTCTGAAGTAAAAAAATCAAAAGAGGATAGCAGGATATGCTTTTCTAAAACCTGCAGTTTTGCTTATCAAAATAATTACCTATTTTAATTGAAAAAAGTGAAACTTACGTAACTCAATAATATTGTTATAGGGTTGGTGGTTTTTAAATCTAGTGAATTAAATATCATCTAAGATTTAAAAATAAAATGGTAAATTTCTAATATATTGACAACCTGAAAATGGAAATTGCAGCTCATATTCTAATCAAGATGAAATTAAATGAATTGGTATCTGTGTATTACTAATAAACCAATGTTTAATTGTTAAGTACCAATATTTTGTTATTTTACACTGGATACATCTCAAGCTTTAACATAATTTTTAAAATTATACCATTCACATATCCAGTTTAAAAACCTTGTTAGCATGATCTTTCTCTCAGCACCTTTGCTCTTCTTTTTCCCTGGCTTCTCATCCTTTCAACATAATTTTGCTTGAAGCAGTCTTAAACCTGAAACTTAAGCCTGAAAGCAAACTTTAATGATGACAATTAAATTAATATTGTTCCTGAATAAAATACGGCAATCTCTTTCCACAAAGCTGGTGAACGTGAAACAAGAAAATGTGGCATGGCAGGAGTTTAAATATACAGGATGGTATTAGAGGTAGAGTTTGTTCACATCATATCCTTTGACTTGAGCACCTCCATCACTCCGATTAATGGGCACTTTTTTTTGGCAGCTCCATAGAGTCCAATCCATGTGTGCGGACACCAGCAACTCTCATTCCTAGCGTCCTCTCTTTGTACTGGTTACAAGGATCGGATCCACTGGTCTGATCCTGTCCCCAGCGGCCCCCAGAGAAAGGGGAGGCAAGTGGCAGGAGGTGGTGATGGCACACTGACTCTGTTGGGTCCAAGCCTTCGGGGGCAGGCAGGGCAAGAGGGAGAGCAGGGCGAGGGAGCTTTCTGCTCTTCTGTCTCCAGGCAGGCGCTCGGGCCCCGATCCTCCTGCCGGCCCACCCGGAGAAGGAGAGCAAAGCAAACCTCTCCAACCTGATACCTTCAGCTCCCTTAATTCCCAGACACTGGCGGGTTGGGGATTACGTCTGGAGAGGACCAGGTTGGGGGCAGGTGCTAAAACCTAAAGCAAAGGACAAGGCTGGGACCCCTGTTTTTCCGAAGGAGGAAGGCATATGAAGGGGGAGGGAAGATGGAGGGAGAAAAGAAGGAAGTCGGAAACGGGGTAGCTTCTGGAGTCTGTCGCTCTCCGCCGATATGCGACCGGGACCAGTCGGAAGGAAACGAAATGCTAATACACGGCATGGCTCCATGATCCGGGGCGCCTCCCCGTTTTGACTGTATTCTAATTATTACGTGAATCCCCCGGGTAATCCCTCTCCCGGAGTCGCGGGTTCGAGCAGTCGTTTGGGGCACTCGGGCAGCCAATAGGAACCGTTGTTTTCTGGGAACCAATGGAAGTGGCCGTAACATCCCAGAAGTGGGGGTGGGGAGGACGCGTTGCCTTTAAGTAGGAGGTGGGCCAGGTGGCCCCGAGGGTGTCCTCGTTGCAAAGCCCGCTTCTTCTGACGGGGGTTCTCCATTCATCCACCAGCATGAATCCTACCCAGGAGGGGCGAATTGTGATTGTTGGCAGGTAAATCCTTCGATGCACTTGAGTTACTCCTGCTCGCTGTGCCCAGAGAGAAGAGGTAGGATAGTTAAAACAGAAGGGGCTCAGCTGGTGCTTGACGTTCCCCACCCCCCAAGCCCAAGGGGCAAGGTTGGTGCATTTTTAGGTACAGAATCTAGCAGCCATGGAAAAGCCACAGTGTCACAACTTCCATCAGCTCTTGCTGAAGTTCTTCCTACAGAGCCTTAAAACAAGCGAATGACTATCCTATCCCATGTTGAATCAGTTTAATTTACTATGCAAGGTATCCTGGAACAAAAGAGACTGGATATTCTTGCAGGAAAAATGACAGAACAGGGAGGAAATCCCTGTTCCCTCCATCAGATGGAATGTGCATGCAAAGTATCATGCTGGCCATATATTTTCAGCAGTTCTATGAAGGACAGAAAAATACAGCTTGTGAGAAGCTAATTTGTTTGCAACACGTGTGAGTTCTTACCTTTTGGAAGTTAACGTAGTAGAAATAGGACCGTCTTTGGCCTTCTGTAGGATGTAGCAATACATTCAGGGGATATAATGTTCTTTTTTTCTGTTTCTGAGTTGCATCTATTTAGTAAAGTGAGAACAATTTTGTAGCTGAAATTAGTTCTATTTTATATTAAACAGCTCTAGAATAAAACTTATTTAGATTGTATAATGTAGAGGCTTCTACAGTACTTTTCCATTGAGTGCAATCTTAAAATACTATTGTCTTGATTTTATTGTTGATTTTCTCACCCTATTGATGATTCCACCTAAGCCCTTCAAATGAATGGGTTTGAACATTGGTTTCCACAATGGCTTCCCAGACTACAGAATTTAGAGGTGTTTGGAGCATGTTTACTTTGGATTGTCACATGGTCTTTGGTTCAAATAGCAGTTAAGGTCTACATGAAGTCATGCCTCATTCACCGATGGTATGTAGAGTATAAAGTCAGGTTTTGCCTAGTGGTGGCAGCAACCAGGAAAGAATTTAAATGTCAGCATCAGGAACACTTCAGTGAGCAGGGAGCAAAGATCAATCACCAGTCCTTTCTGCATTTAAAAAGTTGATTAGCTACCATGATACTACCCTGCAGCACTTGCTGTATGATATATGGTTAGAAATATGTGATTGCAAATTTAGGGAGGAGGTAGGTCTTTCTTTCGAATGTTCTGGCATAAAACAGTGAGGAACACGCCTGTTTTTTTTATTAAGCTGTAGAGAGAATTGTCCTTGTCACATTTCTAGCCTGAAGTTTAGAACATAAAAACATTGTTAACTTCAATTAAGTTAACTTCCAGGCTGGTAGCAAAGTTAGGTCTACCAGACTGGAACTGGAAAAGATGCTAGCAAAGAGATCCAGAATGCTCTCTCTGCTCTTACCTAGTGATCAAGTGGAGTTTTGCAGGCCAAATATGATAAACCTAATAAAGCATGTGAAGGGGACGTAGTGGCGCAGCGGCTTAATGACGCTGAAAGTTGCCGGCCAGAAATGGTCGACGCTTCAGCGGGTCGAGTCCAGCCTTCGGGTTAACAGGGTTAAGCTCCTGTTTCCTCCCCAGTTCCTGTCAACCCAACAGTTCGAAAACTCACATGAGTAGATAAATGGGGACTCTCACTCCGGCGGGG